ATGCGCTAAACTTAGCGCAGGGGCTGAAGCAGGAGCCTACTCACGAGACGAGAAAACTGGGAGTGCATATGCACACAGAAGGCGGCAAGATACATCTGCTACTATTTATAGTCTCAAAAATGCATCTTTCCACCATCGGTGTGAAGATGCACTCACCACTTTGCACATTTCGTGAGTAGTGTGGAGAGGCCGACAGTCCCCAATGAGATTCTCTCAGGGCATAGTAACACTAGCACCTTCGCTAATGAATACGACGGTCATCACGGCCGCACCTGAATGCATCTGCCCGCAATCACGCCCAGAGCTGAGTAGAAAAAGTCATCTTGGTGAGAGGTGGATGCTTTAAACCACTATCATCTCCAAGCCCGTATTTTTCAGCACGCCATTTTGCATGACCCCAAATTTCCATACTATTGCAGCCAACGGCGGGGCGTCGCCATCATTCTTGAACCAGCACGACGGGGCGTCGCCATCATTCTTGAACCAGCACCGGGTTAAGCCACCACTACGCCCCCCGGCCTAAATTCGGTTTTCCTGGCCTTACCGACCGGGTTCTTAGGGGGGGGGGCGCCCGGCAGGCGCAGGCGGGTCCAGTTCAAGGATTTTCAAGCGCCAACTTTGTCAATTTATTCGCACACAGAGGAATTAAAGAGAAAATCTGAAAATTTTGAGATCCTGTAGATTAGATTGTGATCTTTCTAGGGAAAAAAAAAAAAAAGACCGCGAAATAAATGACGCGCCAACGGGAAAAGTACCCCGACTTCTGCATTTTTTTGCGCTCAGAAAGATGACTCGACAACTCTACAAATTGAAGGGCCTGTAGATTTGGTCGTGGACTTTCCACGAAAAATACTTAAAAAATTAAAAAAATATTTAAGACCGTGAAATGAATGCCGCGCCAATTCGCCCATATTCCATTTTTGCCACTCTATCTCGTTTCGGCCAACGTGAAAAGTACCCCGACTTCAGCAATTTTTCACATCCAATACAATACTCTAAAAAGTCTGAAAAGTGGAGGGTCCGTAGATTTTGTCGTGATCTTTCTAGGAAAACTATTTAAAAAGAATCAACAAAACCATTTCAACCCCGAAGTAAATCGCGGGGGCAATTCGACGCATTTTCCAATTTTGCCACTCCACCAGTTTCCCCACTGTGCTGCCAGTGGCCCTCATGGACCTGTGCTACCGGTGGCCCTCAAGGACCTGTGCTATCGGTCTCCCCAAATTAGGACGGCGGGGGTAGTGTTGGTTTGACTGGCGGTGCGTCGAGGGTACCTGAGTGGGTTTCTGTTGGTTCAAACGAGCACTACCCTTCGCAATGCCTTCGGTTGCAACGAGGCACACCCTTATTCATTATTGCACTGCAGTGAGAATCACTATGCGTTGGGAGAGAGAGAGAGAGAGAGAGAGAGAGAGAGAGAGAGAGAGAGAGAGAGAGAGAGTCACCTTTGTCACAATGCCTTTGGTTGCAGAGAGGCGCACCCTTTTTCATTTAGTGCACTGCAGTGAGATTCACTATGGGTAGAGAGAGAGACTCACCCTTGTCACAATGCCTTTGGTTGCAGAGAGGCGCACCCTTTTTCATTTAGTGCACCGCAGTGAGATTCACTATGGGTACTATGGGTTGGGGGAGGTTGGGGGGAGAGAGAGAGAGAGAGAGAGAGAGAGAGAGAGAGAGAGAGAGAGAGAGAGAGAGAGAGAGAGAGAGAGAGAGAGAGAGAGACTCACCCTTGTCAGACCCCTTTCAAGAGCCATTTCCAAAATGAGCGGGAGTGCAGTAAATGATCCAACTTGGACAATGAACACCACATTCAAGGCTTTCTCAAGGACGTCCCCAGTTAGGTTTTCAGCTTTATCAACTCCACTGAGAGCCTGAGTCACAACAAGCACCGGAAGTGAACCAGAAAAGGCACACAACAATTGAGATGGAATTGCTCAAAGAGCCTCTGAGTAACAGTCAAAGTTCAGCAGCACACATAGCTCACAGTACTCAGCTTCATGCATTGGCGATCTTTCTTTGTTGCAACGGTTCTGCCTGAATCAGACGATCAATTTAAAATCTGAAAAATAAATAAGTGCATGTGTCTCTTCTGAAAGCAAAATACAGACCCTAATTCAAATTTCAAACACACAACAGAGAAAGGTTCGCTTTCTTATGTTGAACAGTTGTGACTGTGCAGCACCCGCCAGTCATGGTGATGTTGAACATGTTTACAATACTGCTATTACTGCATCGATAAATATTATTTTTTTAACACATCGCCAATCCTGAGGCCCGCATGGAGACCTTAGGAACAGCATCTCTTTTCAAAAAAGTTTTTTTTTTTTTTTTTTTTTTTTTTTCAATG